TAGGGACCCCCATCCACGTGGGCCCGGGCCAGAGACCCCTCGGCCCCCAGAGAAGCTGGCACCAGCAGGGGTCCAAGGTGTGCCCGGAACCTTCCACCTGACCTTTCCCCTGCACCTTTCAATCCTTGGTCCTTTGCATATGAATGTTTACATATGTTACATGTCATTTAAATTCTACTTTTTATCTTATCTTAGTTTTTCATTTATGTTTTTCAATAGCATCCGTGAACAAACACCATCCCTGGTCTGCTCTCACCCCAAACCCTGTAGCTTTTACACAGGGGCCAAAAAGACACAATCACCAAACCCGAGAGAGCCTGGATTAGGGATGAAGGGCTGGGGTGGTGAGTAAGTGTGCTCTCAAGAGTCTGCCGGGGCTGGGGGCGGTGAGGCTGTTGTGAGGAGGGTCCCCGAGGACTCCGGGAGAGCACACCAGTCATGTGACGATGTCCTGGGGAAGGCACGGGGGGTGGGGGGAAATCTGCAATTTACTGGATACCCTCATATGGCAGAAAAAGCGTCCCCTTTGGTGTTCCTGTAGTCCGGAGCCTGAATCTGCCTTTGCGCTACTAGCTTGGGCAAGTCTTACGACCTTCATGGAATTTCTATTTTTTCATTCAGAAGACAAGCTGGTGGCACCTGCCTTGCAGGGCTGTCGTGTGGATTAGAGATCGTGACCCCTTGCGTGGCTTGGGGTCTGAATATGTCAAGTCTCTAGTTTTTCTGATTAGTCATTTATGTGCTCACCAGTCCTTGTCATCAGGATCCCTCCCACATCTCAGAAAACAACAAGATCTCTGGGGCTCCCTCAGCCTCAAAAGGTCATTCCTGTTTCCGAAGGCCAGGTGGGAGGGGTGCACGGCTGTGGCTGCTGCCACCAGTATCCCCGCTGGGAACCTGCAGTCTGGTGGCGGTGTGTCCCTTGCTGGGGTGGTGCCCAGGCTGCTGCGGATGCCACAGCCTGGGCCTTGGGCTCGCATCACTGCTCAGTGAGGTCACGGGCCTGGCTCTCGATCCTGAAGCATTTCCACTGCGTCCGGGTGCTGGGCCCCGGATGTCTGGTCACGGCCACTCGCTGCCCAGGCACAGACCTCCTCCCCGCCTCCTTCCCTAAACTGGCACTACTGGAGGTTTCCTTGCACAGTGGGTCCTCTGGCCTTGAGTGGAGAGGGAAGGAAGGAACTCGAGGGAAAGTTCCACGAGGGCTGGGGGACAAGGTGAGGCAGGCAATGCCACCGGGACGGAATGGGGGAGGCGGGGTGTCCATGCCCCGCAGCTCTCAGGGGTGAGGTGTGAGTGTGGCCAAGCTGTGGGCAGAGTCCCACGGTCTCTGTGGAGGCTGAGCCCTGAGGGGCAGGAGGCCCATCCTGTTTGCTCCATACTCTCTTTCTGGGGCTCTGGAAGGGGGTTCCACTGACTGGTTTCTGTAAACAGAAGATTTCCTAGTGTGACAACAGCGGGTTGAATGGTGGCTCCCGAAACTTATATCGCCATCCCAACTCCTGGAACCTGAGAATGTGACCTTATTGGGAACAGGGCCTTTGCTCAGGTAACAGGAGGGGATTGTCCTGGACAGTCCAGGTGGGCCCTAAATCCAGTGACAAGTGTCCTTGTGAGAGAAAGGCAGAGGGAGGAGACGACACAGCAAAGACAGACAGACGAGGAGACGACACTGACACTCCACGACACTCCACACATGTGGAGGTAGGTGGAGGTTGGAGGGATGCGGCCACAAGCCTCGGACCACTGGAGCCCCCAGGACCTGGAAGAGGCAAAGGCCAGTTTCTCCTAGAGCTTATGGAAGGAGTGCGGCCCTGCACACACCTTGATTTTGGACTTCCGGTCCCTGTGAGAGAACACATTTCTGCTGTTTGAAGCAGCCCAGGTCATAGTAATCTGTTCAAGCAGCCGCAGGGCCCATCGAGGTCAGGCTGTGGGTGGTGCCCGATTCCAAGACACAGCGTACTCGGTTTTTGCCAAGATGGTGAGTTAATGTGAGGTGCTGGCTCCTTTCACCAAACAAAATCTGCAGAAACTATTGAGTAAGAGAACAAACAATCCTAGGCTTTGAGAAGGGCCCTCGGGGAGGCTGAGAGCCACTTGGGATGGAAGGTTTGGGGCAGTGGTGGCAGCAGCTGGGGTGGAGGGAGACTGGGGTGAAGATAAAGGAGACAAACATGGTCTGGTCCTTCCACGCTGCTCGGCACTGTCTGGGGACGATCCTTGCCAACACTTGCGAGACCAAGGTCAAGGCAGTCCTGCACCTGTGGGGTCCGCAGCCTGGACCAGGGGTCAGCACAGATTTTCCATAAAGAGCCAGACAGGAAATATTTGGGTTTGTAGCACAAAAGCAACCACAGACACAAGGAAGCATATGGACCTGGCCAGACTTGCTGACCTGGCCTGGACCGCTGGAGTGGGCAGCCTCGGGAGGGATCAAGGGCAGAGGAGCTTTGGAGAAGAGAGAAGGGCTGCCCTGCCTGGACATCGTCGCTCCAAACCCACAGGACTGTTGGCCCCAGGCTGGGGAGCTGTCTCCTCTCAAGGTTCCCTGGGGCTCAAAGGAGAAGGCAAAGGGGGCCGGCAGTGGGGTTCATGGTGACCATCCTGATGCCCTGGGCTGCCCAGGCACGGCTGACAGAGCAGCCAGTACTCCCAGGGGACATGAGTCCTCAAGTCACAACGACGGTCTCAAGACAGCAATAACACAGTGGACCACTGGTAACACTGGCGACAAAAGCACAGCATCCATGCAACACCACAGGGTTGTAAGATGAGCACGACGAGGTGACAGGGCGTATGCGGCATGTGAAGCCAGATCTGACATCCTGGAAATAACTGAGTGGACATTTGGCATAAAAATATACCCCAAGTAAGGGACACAGCTGCTGATGGGATGGAAGGGTTGGGGCATACGCGGAAGAGTGGCCAGCTTTTCCCGACAGAACGTGAGGTTAGAGAGGGTAAAGCCTTGGCCGGAGCCCCCGGGAGCACAGAGTTGACCTGAGTGCATGCAGCAAGGTTTGGGGGTGAGATCGGAGTTCAGTAGGATGGGCTGACTTTGAGATGCCAGAGGAAGAGGCGGCTGGTCTGTGGTGGGGACCTCGGGGGGTCTGGGCTGCAATCCAGCCACAGGTGCCTAAAGCCGTGGCACCTGATGGGGATGGAAAGGAGATTCGACATCAAGGGGTCGAGAGGGGCTGAGGAACCAGTGCAGGAGCTGGGAGAATTCACATCCCCGGCACCCCGGCCGCTGCCCACAAGATGAGTGCAGGCCCCTGGGCCATGCACACCGTCCGGGGCCTCTGCAGTGCTGCCGAGAGAATGAAAGAGTGGGTGTAGCCCTGACCCTAATCGGAGACCCCAGCGAGAGGCCTTCTGAAGGAGGGACAAATGTGCTTCCAGGTTGGAAGCTCTCTGAACTCAAGTTAGCAACGGAGCTAAGTGGCCACTAAGGTTCCGGGGCACAAGGCCTCACGTGCCTGTTACATCACACCCAGGGCAGTGCTACATGCCGCTAGGAACTCACACTGCCTTCGGTTTACTCTGCGAATAAGGACGGGTGCACGGAACAAGGATTGGTCCTCTCTGGCTTACTGGAATCCTTTAAGCATTTTCAGCTTTGAATTAGGAGCTATTTCAAGCAGCTTTCATTCTGAGAAGGAGTTTCAGAGCCATCTTTTCTGCAAATCCCAGCACAACTTGAAGCCTAGTCATTCAGATCAACTCAGATACTGACTCTGAAAAGCGCACTGGAGCTGCCATGGGCCGTCCCGTCGATGACACGGCCTCTGCGGTGACTGTGATGCTATGGGCTCAGTGGAAACGCGAATGGAGCTCGTGATGCAGAATCTGTAAACCATGGGTGGGGCTGTGTCCACAGTCAGTCTTCGTATCAAAGGCTCTTGCGCATCATTTATTCACCTCTTCTTTCAGTTACCACGGAACACAAACACCGAACCACTTGAGAGAGCAAAGTTAAAGCTGACCCAGTCACTTTGGAAAGGTATCAGAGGATCGCAGGGGAGGCTGCCTCACACTTGGGGCTCTGTTCCCTCCTCTGCAAAATGCACTGTTCTGAGGATTCAATAAAACCGGTCCCTCTGAAGCACACAGCCGTGCTCAGGGAGGGGAGACAGGGTTACTGTGCTCAAGGCAGCTGTGGAGGGGGTCCCAGCGGGCTCCCCTTCAAGCTGGATGAGCCACACAGACACTCAGACTGTCCAAGGCTGAGCAGGACTTGGAGATCCTCTAAGGCTGAGCAGCACTTGGAGACGGCAAGTGGCCTCCTGGATTCCACTGCAGCGAGTGGCAGTGCCAGGCTGGGCCCTGCCCGTCCAGACTCCGCCAGTGCCTCCCGGCAGGTGGTCTGCACCCGCACCCGGGCTTTGAGCAAATGCTCACTTGCTGCCGCTGGCTTGCTCTGTCCTCGACCACGGTGTCCTTTCTCCCAGCCTGTGCTTCACAGGCTGGGAACCTGCAGATTAGGTGTGTTTGTGTGAGGAGATGTGGGGGTCTATCCCTCCCTCTTATTCAGATGGACATGAGCTCAGTGACTTGTCCTGACGTCCAGTCGCACCCACACAGCTGCCCTGGCTCCGACAGACACAGTCAGGAGTGTACAGATGGCTGGTGCGGTCACTGAGTCACCCCTTTTCCATTCTGGTCATGAAAGCAGCATAAGAAAGCCAGCAGTGAAAGGGGTGGAAGATCACTGAACAAGAGCTTCTTTGTGGCCTTCAGAAAGCTTAAACCCTAAAGGAAAGATGCGTCAGCTTAGATGTTTCTCACGGATCAGAGCAGGTGGGCAGGGGCGGCCTTGGGGGTCATCAAAGAACGTGGGTGAAGAGCTGACGGGCTGAGAACCGCTGTCAGCTCACGGATGGGGTTTCTTCTCGTTCCTCCACTGGGATGCGTGCATTGGAAAACGCGGGGCAGCTGGAGGGACACGGAGGCCGAGGTGGAGGGAAAGGACCGGTGCCACTCCTGCTCTGTCCCGTTCAGACGAACCTCCCATTTAAGGGCTGGTGGGTCATCACGGGTTTCTGTGAACACACATGGACACGTCAGCACGCACAGGTGGGTACACACACAGATACACGGGTGAGAGCACACGCACACTCATGCAGGCATGGGCACAGAAATACACGGGCGAGCACAGAGGAACATGTAAACACACGGGTGTGCACAAAGGTAGACACGCACTTAGCTATATGACTGCGCGTACATAAAAACACACACGGGCACGAACACAGACACACACACGGGAGAGCACACAGATGTGCACAGCTGCACACATGGGCTTGCTGGTCAGGAGGCATCAGTCAACCCTCTGCTGGGGTTTTTTTTTTACTCAATCTCTTTCTGCCTGCTTCCCGAGCTATGGGTCAATGACACCGGCCCTCATCAAATGGGCTGTAAAGACGGAAAGTATGTGAAAATCTAAAACTCTGAAACACGGAAGGTGCGTTCTCATTTGAAAGCATGTAGACTTTCAAGCCTCCGCTGGCGATTTCTTATCACCCGCCATCAGCCCCTGGGGATGGCCACGCTCTGGCCACGGTCCAGGTGGCCTCTTCTGGGCTCAGGTGGGGCCTGGCAGGGAGCCTCTGCCCTCTGTCCTTTCCTGTCGTCTGGGGCGGCCTAACGCTGGCTGTATCGGACACGTGTGCCCCATCTCCCCGTCTGCCGACACAAGGCTCGCACACAATCATCAGCAATGAGTACTGTGAGATACGTTGAAATCCCGTTTAAAAACGGAGTTTGTGGAAAGAACAGAGCAGCCGCTCCGTCTTCCTGGACAGCAAAGCCGTCGACTCAGACTCTCGTAACCGGCATGAAGTCAGAATGACTGCTGGGTGGTCGCAGCCAGCGGGTGAGATGTGAGTGTGGACAGCTGTGGGGATGGGGGTGTTTGGACCCTGATGTTGGCCACTGAGACCTCATGCCCACCCCTGGGATGTGGGCATGACTCTGGGGTCCCTAGAGGTCAGCTGTCTCTCGCCGTTGCAGCCCTGTGTCTGTGAAGTGCCGTGGGCACTCCAGGAAGCTGACACGCCCATCAGAAGAGCTGGTGCTTTCACCAGGCTCTCATGCGGCTGGAAACACCAAGGACCGTGGTGCCAGAGAAGGGTCTGCAAGGTGCATTTCTGTAGGCATCAAGGCCAAGACCCCGCTGGTCCAGCTGATGTTCCCTGGGCTTTGGGAGGCACCTCAAGCTCTTTCTGCAGAGAGCCCTCTCCCACGGAAGTTGGGGGACAGCCTTGACCCCGGGACCTGCACAGGTGGTTCAGCTGAATGACCTTTACAGCGCTGGGTGGGCAGGTGGGGCTGTGTGGGGAGACCTCACTGCCTCATGCTCTGTCCCCGTACCCAAGCCCAGAGCCCCCGAGGGCCAGGCGACCCCATCACTGGTACACTGTGTACCTTTACGAAATGTTTTTGATTTTCCATTAGACTTTTTGCTGATTTTACTATTCCTGGTAGTGTACCCCAATTCTTTACTTTGAAAACTTAATATCACATGTCAATCTGAGAGAATTTTAAAGCCGCCTCTGTGAAAAGAGAAAACTTACCGCAATGCTGTGGTTGGCGGTTCCCTTCCTGCCACTGGGGTTTCTCTGTGTCAGGGATCCGCGGGACACGGATTTCCGATCGAAGGAGTCATCATCTTTGTCTTTGAGGAAAACAGGAGGGGGGTTGCTTATTAATCACAAACTTACCCCAAACAAGTGTCTTTGCTTCCTAAGAAATTTTAAAAGGAGCATAAAAACAAATGCGCCCTCCAGGACGAAGCTGATGTCCTCGTCACTGCCAAGACATCAAGGCGGGCTAATTACGTCCTGTGCTCTAGAAGGTGGGGAGCTTTGCACCATTATTAGGATGATTTACATCGCAGGACAAGGAAACCACCGCTGCCACCCCCATCAACACCCTTATGTGCTTCAGGCAGCAAATTCCAGGTATCCAGACACCACGTCACTGCAACGGTCCCTGAGGGTTGCCCGAGGGCACTGGAGTGTCCTTCGGGCATCAGTGGCATGACATGCCGGGTCCCATGGGTTACGCAGAAATATGGGGCCCCGACTGGCTATTTTCACACCCCTGAGCTCACCTCCCAGGCCTGGGGGATGAGGGAAGCAGGTGACTCTTACCTTGACTTCTGGGGTAATCACTGAGCTTTCTCCTCACAAGATAGGGTGCAGCCACCACCTGGAAGAAAGAAGCCGTCTCTGGGCGTCAGTACCTTTTGCTGTAATCGTTAGGAACGCCGGGGAGCTAGGTTTGGATTTCCCAACATTCCTGCAGATTCGGATTAATCGGGGCAACTCTCTTCTGTTCCTGGGCAAAATTTGAACTTTTAACAATATTAAAATGCACGCTCTCAATAAATTAAGCCCGGAATATAAAAGAGTTGCTTAGCTTTCGGAGAACTGCAACTTTGGGTGGGTACAGTGGAAAAAGCACAAGTTTCAGCCCCACAGACAGGTTCAAATCCTATTGCTACCCCTTACCACCGTGACAAGGACGATTTACATATTCTCTCTGAACTGTCTCCTCATCTGGAAAATGGGCCAGCAGCCCCTGTACAGGATTCTGGAAGATTAACTGTGCCTAATACATTCTCAGCGCCCCATGGCGGTTGGGCCCCCCACCTTTCTTTCCCTCCCCCTTTCCTGTTGCTCACCTCTCTACTCTGGGCTAATTCATTTGCTGTTTTGCCTCTTCAAGGGGGAAGCGAGAGCAAAACGGCCTGACTCCCTGGAAGTCCTGCCAATGCCTGGCCCCCTGGGATTCAGCCTGGCTGGTTTTGTGGGCTATACCAGGAGGCTGGCTGCAGACGCTTTCAGGCTGGGCTTCCTGGGACAGGTCAGGGAAGACCACAGCCCCGAGAAGAGGGCCAGGGTGGGGCTGGGAGGCCTGCCTGAGACCGCCTGTCGCTGGTCTGTGTGGTCTCAATCCAGTATGTCTACCTCCCCCACGCTCAGGCTCCTCTTTGGTGCAACAGGGGCGATATCCACACCTGCTTACCAGGTTTTTTGAACATCAAATGCAAGGATGGAAAAAAAATACCGTTTTTAACTATGAAGAGCTACCCACTGCTGTTGTCACGAGAAGCACAAATAACTAGGTGCTCATTACAGCTCACAAGGGGCGTATCAGGCAGCAGGCAGGACCTGGAGCAGACGCCCCGCTCTGTGGGCCCCCGGGGACTGGCACCGCCGCCTGCGGCCCAGTCACACCCCCGAAACCCGGGAGCTCCTTCCTGCTCCCTCCCAGGCCGTCCCTCCCCCGGGCCCTGCAGCCCTTAACAGTGTCACCCTCTTCCTGATCAGCAAGCTGTGGGGCGTCCCACCCGTACCCCACATCCATCCTTGTGCCGTTTTGTGCACACCGGCTCCCATGCTTTGCACCCACGGCCGGGACCCGCGGCTCCCAGGGGAGGCCCGTCCCTGGGCCCTGGAGCCTGCCGTGCCTGTGAATGTTCGTCACCCAGGACGGGGGGCGTGGGGGGCAGTACATGCCCAGCACCCGGCCCCTGTGATGTGCACTGTCTCCAGGGCTCTGTGTTCCTCTCAGCCAGTTCCCCTGCCTGGGGTCTGCCCGCCTCCTTCCCCTCTGCCCTCTGTCCCACCCTCCCACTACCCTGGCTGGGCTTTCCTGGATTTTCCCCGACAAACACCCTATGGGGAGACCAGCCTGTGACACTTGCCACGTTCTTAAAGTCCCAATGTTTCAGCTCCACCCCCCCCCGCCCCGGACTTGTCACGCTTCTGGAAAAGTCGGGCCAACTGTTTACCCGCTTCCAGCCTCTCGAGCTTGGATGTAGTAACACATACCTTGACCTCACCCGAAGGGTCTGCATTCGGATCCTTAGGACTCTGGCCAAACTTCCCAACAAGCTGGGGAAGAAATATCTGGAGAACAGGGAAGGAGCCTGTGCTTATGACTGCTCGTCTGACCTCCTGCCACAGGGAGGGCGGGCGGGCAGGACACACGGATGGTGTTCTCTTTAGTCCTCGGTCTGGAAGGCCGGGACGGCACGGCAACACCCACAGAGCACACACCACTCCAGGGCTCTGTGCCCAGGGCTGCTGGGTTTAGCAAATTAAAGTACAGAACGCTCAGTTGGCTTTGAACTTCAGATAAACAATGATTAAATTTTTTTAGTATAAGTATGTCCCAGATACTGCACGGGGTATACTTATACTAGAAGAGGACTTGTTGTGAATCTGAAATTCAGGTTTGATTGGGCATCCCGGCAGCCGCATCTGGCACTCCCCTAAGAGCATTTATCATCTTTCTGCCAGATTTCCTCATACTGTGATTTGTCTGGAGACTCCCGACTTGAATCGGGGGGAAGGATGTTGGTCTCAGGTCTCTGTCGTGGGCAGGTCCCCATCCTGCTACTGTCACACCCGCCTTGAAACAGAGCTTTTATTAAGCCCGCCAACACGAGGTGTTGTTCAGCTTGTTTCCTTTGGACGTGTGTGTGTGTGTGTGGACCACGTGTCTGTGTTTCCAATTCTCATGCAGGAGCTGAGGGTCCCCCCATACAGCACTCTTTTCCGTTAGAAACGACACTAGCAAATGAAAAGGAATCCCAGCACAGCCCACAGGTCACTGATAGCAGGAACACAAGGCTGGCAGATTAAGGAGGAGGGCGGCAGCTGCCCCAGGGGCTCTCCCTGCCAGGCCCCCGGGCTGCCCTGTGCTCCTGGCCAGGGCTCCAGGCACGACCCCCAGGGCCCTGCGGCCCCTCCACTCACCGGGAGGCTGGATTTCTTCCGGGGCTTTGCCGAGGTCCTCACAGTGAGCCCTGCAGCCTGCAAGGCTGCAATCCTGTACTCGATATCTGAAACCTGGGGGAACCACAGACAGACAGACAATGTCATTTGGATGTCCTTTCTCAACGTCACAGGACAGGAGGAGCTGCTGCGCCCGATTCGCCGATTTCATCATGCTTCCCCTGAGATGGGGGACCCGCCCAGGGCCACTTCCTGGGCGCGCCATTTCCATCCATCTTCCATGGCTGTCGGGAGGGTCACCCCAGGCGGGGGAGGGGCTCCATACATTTTCTGGGGGCTCATCCATGAGGGATTGAGGGAGGGGTACTGACGGGGGGAGAGCTGAAGGCAGGCGCTTCTGGGAACGGGAGCCGGACCCCCTTCAGGTCCGCCCAGATCCCTCCCACAGCCCCAACCCTTCTCAGGGTCCTCGGGGCTGGGACCTGCTCTCCTCTGAGACGCCCCCCTTCTCACTCGCCGGGCTCCGGCGCAGGGCTCCACTGCGGATTCCTCAACATGCCAAGCTCGACGCTGCCTCGGGGCCTTCGCCCGGGCTGCCTTCTCGTATTATCCCTTCCCGACCACCCTTCGAGGCAGCCCCATCCGAGCGCTCCCTGGGGCCACCCTCTCCTCAGTCTCGTCGACCTGTTCTCTGTCTCTGCCCACTAAAAGCACAAGCTCCAGGAACGCAGGGGCTTGGTCTGAGGTGCTCATAGCTGCACCTTTTGTGTCTACACAACGCCTGCCGTACTTGGGATCCCGACTGAGAATTGTTGGCTCCACAGGAAGGAATAAATGAACGCAAAGTTCTCAGGCTCACTTGCGCCCCCGAAGGTGCGCGGCCTGGGGATGCGCCTCTTCTTCCTCGGGTACGGAAGGGCACTTGCTGAAGAGAGAGCAGAAGCTGCAATGAATGGACAGTGGGCGCTGGGTCCCCCGCACTCGGACGGGCAGACCTCCTCTCCTCTGGGGTCAGCAGGGGGAGGGCAGAGCAGAGCCCAATCACCTTGACTGTCTCTGGGAGACCCTGGCTCTGTCCTTTGACCTTTGCACACCACTAACACACCTCCTACCCTAACTCAAGCCCGGGACCCAAGTTTACAGGATGACCCTCGGTCAGAGTCTGGTCCTGAGCCCCGGGGCTGTCCTAAAATCTAAGCCTGCTTCTGGAGAAGCCCTCCTCATGGGAAAGGGAGGGGTAAGCGTCAGCATCTTCCTTCCGTGGCTGAAAACGCCGCCTGTCTCTTGCCAACCTAAAAGGGAAAAGTGCAGGGGGTGGCGTGGAGGGTGATTCCACAGAAAGCCCCAGGAGCCTGTCCTGGAGCCGACAACGTGGGCTCCTGTGTGTGAGCCCTTCGGGGGGCTGACCACCCTTGCCAGGCCTCCAGGGTCCCCACTATCTATCTGGGGGAGCCGCCTGCTCCCGGGGCTGCCAGGGCAACCTCGCTCTCTGCCCGCTGCACCTGAGAGGCTGTGGCGGCCACTCTGTCCTCCAGCTGCGACAGCTCCTCGTCTGTGGTCCTGCTGGGCTGCACGGGGTCCTGGGGGTCCCGGGGCCTCTTCCCCGAGCTGGGCGTTTGGCCTGCAGCTGTGCACACCTAGGAGAGGGAAGCGCTGCACGTGACCACCTGCGGGGGAGACCGCAGGGCTCGCCCCAACGCACGTCCCATCCTGAAGGTGCCCCTTTTGCTATGCCAGGAGCTGCCTGGCCAGCCGGGCAGCCCGCGGTGGGGCGCCGTGTGCAGCTGGGGCCAGGCCACTGGCTTAGGCACAAGCGGTTGATCCCCAGCCCCACCTCCGAGTGTGTGCTGCCGAGGTCGCTCAGGCAGCCTCACCTCCGGGGCGGCCCCGGGGGGGTCCTCGATGGGGGCGCTGCTGCCCTGCTCCGCCCCTCCGTCCTTGCCCTCCTCCTCCGATGAGGCCTGCTGGTCACCGCTGCGGCTGATCAAGGCCTCCAGTCTTCTCTTTAGGGCCGCCTCTTCCATGTCGGCGCCTGTGGGCTTGCTGCCAACTGGACACTGAGATGGACGAGTGGCTGATCTCAGCCGGTCGGTCACCTGGAAGCGCTGAAAGCAGAAGCAGGGCTTCGGAAAGCACCTGCCCCCGGCACCCCGGGGGCTTGGCTGGAGCTGCGGTCTCATCTACTCCCCACACAAGCTCGGCCAAGCGGCCCGCGCCGCCTGTCCTCCAGAACCAGGCTCCGAAGGGTGGGATGTTCCTGGCGATCCTAACAGCACCCAGGCCACCTGAGATGCACCATTTTTCAACTTCTCTCTGTTCCCAAACTGGGTCCCAAAGCCACTTCCTAGGGTTTAAGCATCCTTATGGCGCCAAACCAAGACCTCAACCAGGACTGTCTGCATCTGCCAGCTGAGGCTACGGGCTGCTGACAAGTCTGTTCTCTGGGTTTTTCTCGGTCCCCCCGTGATAAGACCGAAGTACACGACGGCTGTGCGGCCTCAGCATCACCCGAGGGCTTGGGGGTGGGTCCTGAACTCGTGTAAACGCAACGGCATTCGTGTCCACTGTCCATGGTACCTCTCTGTGTACCAGGCTCTGTGTCCACAGTCTCTCCCACGAGCCTCCTGTCGGCTTTGCAAAGGAATCATACTCCTAGACACTGGTCCGGAGCTGACTGAGAAGTGTCTACAGTGTATTTGTGACTCTTGGAAAACTGCAAAGTTGTGTGAACCTCACAGTGATGTTTTCCATGACACAGTGAGTAGCAAGCACTCTTTACCACTCACCCCTTCTTGAATCTAGAGCCAGGGACATTTGCCATCCAGGGTGGACTTGGATGAGATTCATACAACCCAGAATATCTATTTATCTGCCGTGGCTGGTGAGAAACTCAGAGCTAAACAGTGCTCATTTCTGGAAATCTATTCTCCAGAGTTTAGCTAGGCCTCTGTTTCTTGAAACTATTTTTCAGGGTTGTATTCTTTTTTTTTTTTCGTTACGCGGGCCTCTCACTGCTGTGGCCTCTCCCATTGCAGAGCACAGGCTCCAGATGCGCAGGCCCAGCGGCCATGGCTCACGGGCCCAGCTGCTCCGCGGCATGTGGGATCTTCCCGGACCGGGGCACGAACCTGTGTCCCCTGCATCAGCAGGTGGACTCTCAACCACTGCGCCACCAGGGAAGCCCCAGGGTTGTATTCTTTGGTCATAATTTTCTAAGTCTCTATAAGGGGGTGGGAGTCCCTCATTGATTCCAGCTCTTACCCTAATTCTACAAGTGGGGAAAGGATGCTCAGAGCCCCTCCTTTGCCCGGCCTCACTCAGTAAGCATCAGACCAGGGCCTGGACTGCAGTAAGCTCTGGCTGCTACCCGTTCCTGCACTCCAGCCAGCGGTTCACTGAGCAGCTATTTGTTTTGTCTGCTTGTGGACACGAGCTTTATGTGAAGGGATTTAGTGTGTCGGTTTTAAGAAGTGACCAGAGTCACGTGAAAAAACCAGAAAAATGGCCAAATTATCCCAACTGCCCTTTACAGCCAAAATAACTTGAGAGTGGGTAATGAGATTTAAAAGTTAAGGGCAGGGACCTCCCTGGTAGCAAAGTGGTTAAGAATCCACCTGCCAATGCAGGGAACACGGGTTTGATCCCTGGCCTGGGAAGATCCCACATACCGTGGAGCCACTAAGCCCGTGCGCCACAACTACTGAGCCTGCGCTCTAGAGCCCGTGCACCACAGCTACTGAAGCCCGCGTGCCTAGAGGCCATGCTCCCAACAAGAGAAGCCACCGCAATGAGAAGCCTGCGCACTGCAACAAAGAGTAGCCCCCACTCGCCGCAACTAGAGAAAGCCCACGCGCAGCAACAAAGACCCAACACAGCCAAAAAAAAAAAAGTTCAGGGCAATTCCATCCTGCAGTGCTTGCTCAAGCCCCAAACCCTGGTATCATCTGACCCCTCTCTTTCTCTCGACCTGAATCCATCCCCGCTGGCTCTGCCTTCAACAGGTACCCAGGGTCCACCTCCCATCACCTCTGCTGCCCTGCCTGGCTCACCCGCCACCTCGTCCTGCCTGGACGATCCACCAGCCTCTTAACTGGCCTCCCGTTTCCACAGCCTGTTCTCAGTTTGCCAGGCAGAGGGCTCCCTGGGGGTCGGGGGCAGGAGGACGTGAGCAGGGAGGCCCGTCGCTCATTCACTCACTGGCTGCCTCTCCTTCGGCCCACAAAGCAGACGTCACAGTGTGAGGTGAGGGTCCCCCCAGGACCGCGTTCCGGGACTCTGAGATCCCCCTCCCCGCCCCTTCCTTCGGGGAGCAAGTCACCCGCTGATGCTGATGCTGGGAGGGGGGCTTCCGCACCACGACGTTACTCACACCCACAGTGCCCGTCGGGCCGCCTTCCGCCCCCCTCGGCCCCGGGTGCTCCTGGCGAGCGGAGGGCAGTGCTGGCCGTCACTTAATTTTCTCTGTGAATGGAACAAAGCAGCCTCGCAGATGAGTGCCGAGGGCTGGCGTGAGCTGACAGGGAAGCGGCACGTTCACTGGGACGCCTTTCTACAGGCTGCCAATTTCCTGAAGACGCTCAATAAGCAAATCTCCTCAGAGGCCGCCATGGGTGAAGAGAGCCCCTGTGACATTTGGAGGGTAGATTCTATTGGGTCTGATGGGAATAAATCTTTCAGAGTAAATGAGGTTGAGAAACTTCAGAATCCCCTTGAGAAATGGGAGCCTGAGGCCACCCCAGGCAGCAGCTGATGAGGGCCTGGGGTGGAGATTGATGAGCTGCTGTCAGAAGGGGGCGTTGTTTCTACTTTGTAAATAAACCCCCACACAGACAGACAGACACACACACACGCATGCATGTCCAACGCACATGTATGCATACAAGCACACACACACGTGATGGCAGCTGGCCAGCACGACAGGATACAGCTGGGGTGACCAAGGCATCCAAGTTTGAACCCCGAAAGCCCTATGTCCTGGAAACCCTCCAGCCCCTGGCAAAGAGGGGCACGGGTTGCCCTGGTGATGCTGGTGGGGGGAGAGTGAGGCCCAGAGGGGTATCTGGGTCAGCCTCCAGGATGGGGTGGAGGCAGCCCGGGGTCTGGGCGGCTGGGGGTGAGCCCTGGGGTCCTGCGGGCTACTGGGCCTGCGTGGGGGACACCTGCCACAGACGCAGGTGAGAGGGCCTGTCCTGAAAGCATCCTGAGGGGCAGAGGGCCTCTCCCAGACCTGCGCGAGGGGCTTCAGAGTGTGCTCCCTGCCGGCTGCGGGCTCTGGAGTTCCTCTCCTGAGAGCCTGAGCCTCAGTTTCCTCAGCTAAAAGCCGGGGACTGAAACTCTGTCTCTGGGCCAGCATGGCTCTGCCGGCCCACAGAGGGTGTCAGAGGAGGGCACCTCCGTGGGTAAAGGTGGCTGTGGCCCTGGGGGTGCGTGGCTCCCACTGCCCACCCCAGCTGCCGCCGGAGCTGATCTCCAGAGCCCTCGGGTGCCGCAGGGAGGGGGCCGGGTGCTGGACCGGGGCCGTGGCTCAGGCAGACTTGGGGCAGGGCCTGGGCCTGAGCATTGCTGCCCCTACGCCCACAGCTACCCGGCTGTCTGTCTCTCAGACGCACATGTGCACATGCACTCACATTAGACCAAGGGTTCTGTTCCATTCACTCTCCAGAAGGTGGCCCCAGTGCGCTGGGTACACCCTAACACACAGGGTGGGCAGGAGACCCCTGCCCGCTCCGACGGCCTGGACCCCCGGATACTGCAGGACCAAGCGAGGTCCCCGGGTCTTTGCTGCTCTGACTTCCCAGCCCCTCTCTCGTTACATCCGCACCAAAGGCTGCACACCTGCGGCCCTCTGAGTTCTCCTGCACCTTTGGCTGGGCCCACAGATGCCCGGGCTCCAAGCATGGTGTACGGCAGGGGCCTGGACGGGGCAGACACCCGCCCCCCTCAGCTGTACGGTGGAAACCCGCTCAACTCTCTGAGCCCCATGCATGAGCTCCCAATCGAGAGTCTTCCTTGCAAAGCCCGTGTTGGTGCCTCAACCTCCCTTAACAAAGGGGCTTCAGCGGGTCAGCAGGCGGTCGCCCGCTGACATGTATTTGTTCCGCTCAGAGATCTGCAGCAGAGGGAGGGGTTCAGTGGCTGGAGGACAGAGCCACTCTGGCCAGCAGGACGCTGGCACCTACCACCTCGGGAGCACCAAATTCCCAAGCAGTGGAAGGAAAGGTCAGGCCACCATTCGTCATGTGCCCTGGGAAGGTGACTGTGCGGCCCATTTTCTGACAGCCGGGGTCCTGGAACGCCAAGCAGAAGCTGGGAGTGGTACCAGAAGCGGGGGGCGGGGGGCATTGGGAGGATGAATAAAGCAGGACAGGTGACACATTCAGCGTCATTGCCGTGGTGCAGCCATTGTCACTGCTGAACCTCAGGCACACAGGAAGGTGTGAATTGATTGTGCCAGGGTGCTCAAACTAAAAGTCAAGAGCCCCGGGTCACCGTGGGCCAGGAGGCCTGCCAGGTGATGACCTGAAAGTGCGACTGGCTCATACCTTGAGTCACCAGCTCTTGAGTCACTGGAGTGTATTAACTCCCAGGCCGGGAAATGAGAAAATCAATTCTGCTGTTTTCTTCCAAGCCCAGCAGATGCATCTGGCCTGCCATTGTCTCCTCTGCGGTCCACCTTGTTTTAAAAGAGGGAGATGGCTCCAGCAGGCTGGTAAGATGCTTTTGCATTGTTCTGCAGGTAATTAGTTTGATCTTCCCAGCACCGAGGGCTTTGAGTGGGCAAATCTGCCCAGAGAAGAACACAAGCTGAGAAGCTTCAACACAAGGGTTTCGGCGGGAGGGGCCCCAGCCCTCGCCTCGAGTGGCTGCTGGTAATTGAGACCAGCTGTGGGCGCACTCATGGCACCTGAGAGGCAGCGATCAATACCTGGGAGGGGGGGCTGCTCAGCAGATAGTCGTGTGTCCCCGGGGAGCGTGGTGGGCATGAACCCACGGCAGGAGAATAAGAGCTGACCCAACCAGGGTCCGGCACAGTGAAGCATCCGCTCCAGAGCGAAAGAGAAAGGAAAGCATCCCACGGCGAGAACTCGGAAAGCTCTCGTCCTGATGGAGGAGCGACACGAGCTGGGGGCAGCACAGAGCTGTGGAGAGACCACAGCCCTCGGAACGGGAGGTGAGCTTGCGGGCTGGTGGTTTTCTCTGAGCAAGAGAGCCTGTCCACGTGCCGCCAGGACAGCCTGGACGCATCCTGGTTTTCTATCTGGGATCAAGAGCCGTTGGCCCCCTGTAGACACCCCCCAGGGAACACCTGTCTCTCAGGTGCTCAGGAGCCCAAAGCTGCTCGTGCCCCTCCCTTTGGCCAAAAGCGGGAGCCGCTCTGTCCCGTGTGAGCTCTGTCCAGGTAAATTACATGCTATCTGGACACACGGACGGCAACTTGGAATGAACTTCTGGTGTTTCCAACTCGTTTGCAGCAAAACACAGATTTACAATTTAGGAACGCAGTACAGACAGAGAAGGAAAATGAGCTACTGCAGTTTGGCACTGGTGAGGCTTTCGTGGGGAAACCGAGTCAGTGTCTTTAGCCTGAGCTCTTGGGGCACCAGGGGCTCACTACCCACCACTTGGGGCAGGGTGCGTGCCAGGGCTCTGTTTCCTGCACCTCCTTGAACTCAGCCCCTTGGAAGCATCCGTCCTTGGTACCACATGCTGTGCTATCTTTGGCTTCTCTCTCAGCATGAGTGATTATTTATAGAAAGTCTTTGCTGAATATCCCTCACCCAGAAAGTCCTGACCACGAGTACAGATGCGAAGACAGGCAACAGGTCAGGGGAGGACCATTCAGACTGACCCCAGTAGAACATTATTCTCGAGCACTCTCGAATCCCCAAGGCATGTCTGTGAGTCCTCTAGTCGGCCCTGGGTCTTCCCCGATGCACAGGGACGCTACTGCCCCCTGGAGGCCGCTCTTTACACAGCCTGATTCCCTTTTCATAAAGATGCAGGTGAAGTCAGTGGAAGTAAATACAGTCAAGAGAAAGAAATGAAGAATTCCAGAGACGAGATACAAGCATGAAACAGAGTAATTTTCAAGGAGGCATAAAGGATGACTGGTGTCAGTAGGACTAAATACCGGGATATGTGTTTTACTGAACGTCACTAAAGCTGCTAAATTAAAAATTTGCTGAAAATAGACAATTTAATTCTAGTCTTTCTCCCATTGTCTTCTGGCCTGGACACTGGGAACTTCTCTGCCAGTTGTGGTTCTGCCACCCAGGGAGGTCTCTGCCCTGCGGAGGTCTCCGTCTCTGCCCTGGGGAGGTCTCCGTCCTGGCCGCACTGGCCCTCCACCATCATCCCCCAGCCTTCCCAGGGGCCAAGCCAGTCACTCCCTGGTCTGAATCAAAGGACACTTCCTTGCATCAGCATCTCCCCTGCTGTTCCATAAAAGAAGAGTGAGCCCCTGGGTTGAATGGCAGAGAGGGGGGGGGGGTCTTCACCGCAGGCCTCCTGAGGGCCTTTTGTGTCCTGCTGTGCTCAGGGCAAAGGGTCAGTGGCTTCTCTCAGAGATGGAGGTCGGAGCAGGAGGTACGTCCAGCCCCGGGGTCGGGCGATGCTGCTAGGTGATATTATAGGAAAGAGAGCCAGCTGGGCCTGTGGGCACTGACTCTGCAGAGGGAGACGCAGAGTTTAAAACCTCCATGCTTCTGCCCTGTTGACATTTTAGATCAATTTTAGAAGAACAAAAAAACCTCCCAAAACAAATAACAAAACACCTGACACTGATTCACCAGAAAGCCATGTGAAGAAAGGCACCTTCTTGGCCTTCCCTGGTGGCGCAGTGGTTGAGAGTCCGCCTGCTGATGCAGGGGATGCGGGTTCGTGCCCCGGTCCGGGAGGATCCCACATGCCGCGGAGCGGCTGGGCCCGTGAGCCATGGTCGCTGAGCCTGCGCGTCTGGAGCCTGTGCTCCGCAACGGGAGAGGCCGCAGCAGTGAGAGGCCCGCGTACCACAAAAAAAAAAAAAAAAAAAAAAAAAAAAGGCACCTTCTACAAGTCAGGTGCTCCTCTTTGCAGATCATTCACTTCCGGAGCATATCTGTGAAGGGACTGAGGCTGGAAGGGCCCCTAACCTGTTCTAGGTCAGCTTAGACTGAGCAGGGGCCCCCCAATGTCTGAGCCCGGGAAGGGTGAGCCCCAGGCAGATCAGAGGGGGAAGCGGGTGCTGACGGAAGCAGAGGGCTCAGCAAAGGCCCGGCCCGCTGGCAGCCCAAGGCCCTGGAGAGCAGCCTGTAGCCTGTGGCTGCAACGCTGGACCACAGCCCTCATCCCAGGGCTCTGACATTGCACATCTCTGTTGAGCAGAGGCTTGTGCAGCTTTATAGTTTTGAAGTAATTTTAATTTCTCAGAAATGAACTGATGTTAAGGTAAAAAGGCGCCACCCAAAGAAGCAACTAGAACGCGTTCTTTCCGGCCACCTTACCTGCTTCTCAGACAATGTCTGGCCTCTCCGTCTGGGATGGTGAGAGGCCACCCTCTGAGCCCAGATGCTTTCTTCATCTGAGGTGTCCACGTCGGCCAGATAGTGGGACGGGAGCTGCTCATTCCAGAGGACATTTGTTCCTTTGGAGGAAGAGTGGGTTTGGATTATTTGGAGTGAAAAGCTGAAAGCCAGTGGGCATTTTCTCCAATGAAGAGAAATAAGAAATAGAAGAAAATGGAGACATGATTCTATTCCATTGATATCATGGGGCTGAGATCCCTAAACCAAAATAAGAATGGAACAGAGTCCATGGTCCCACACACGGAATTTCAGGAGCAGAAGCCCCTGCCCTGGCCAGCACTCACCGGGGGCTCCAAGGTATGAAAGCCAGGTGGGCAAAGTAAATGTAATATAATTACATCACATGGAGTTCTATGCGCCTCGGGTGTGGCAGACATGCGTCCCGGGAAGTTTCCACGAGTGGAGGTGACTTTGGGAAGTCTTTCCACATTGGTCACTGGGGACTGCTTTTCCTGCCAGACTAATGATTCACAGACTCTCGTGGGCACGGGTCACCTATGGTGTGGCCTGAGATGCTTATTCCTGGGCTCTGTTGGTGGAAGGGCCCCATGTTCTCACTAGAAAGTACCCCCAGAGCTCCATGTTGGCCTGGAGGGCACCACATCCAGCCGTGCCGGGACGGGGAGGGCTTGACCCTCCTGTGGGGTGACCCACAGGAGCCAGTGTCCCAGGAATCAGTTGCACAAGCTGTTTCTGTGCTTGATGTGTAGCCGGCCACATGGCTCTGCCAGCACCCTGAACGACCTGGGGGCAAGGCTCTGAGCTCCAGCTAAGACTCTGGCCCCGAAGACACTGTGGTTTCAGCCTGGGAGATGTGTGCTAATGACCTGGCGATGCCGTGTTGGATGCCTGGCCCCCGTGAGCTCATAAATGTGTGTTGTTTTAAGCTGGTAAGTTTGTGATAGGTCATTATGTCTCAAGGGCTAACAGATACAACCATCCCATTTAGAGCCCACAACAGTGCGCTGAGTTAGGCACTAACCCTATTTTACAACGAGGAAACCGAGGCACGGCGGTTCAGAGGTTTGATCAAGCACACACCACACTCCTTTAAATTGCAGACCTTGTAGCTGGTCTGATGCACTATTAAGAGACAACGCTGCCAATCTACCTCCAACACACACTCTGCTACCACACTCGCTGTAAGACGCTCCCAATTTGACGAGGTGACAAATGTGTCTTAGAATCAAAGAAATCGGGTGGTGAGTTGGTCAAAAGAGCTGGGCTTGAAACTCAGAGCTGCCTGTCTCCCAGGCACATTTCCCAGCTCGATACTGTCTGTCTCAGCTTCTCCCTCTCCCCGCTGCCACCCCATCCACGTGCTGGGGTTGATTAGGGATCCTGGGAGGAAATGCGTGTGTCCGAGTCTTCACCCTATGACTTGGTCGATGTAGATTCATTTATTCATTGTTTATGGGGAAGTAAAACTCCCCTCCCACAGCCCCCAGACGCCTCCAGGACCCTAATGGGCGTGTGAATCATGAGATTACAGTCCCTATAATATAATGAAAAGGGAAATGGAAAGCGGGCCCATTTCCTGGCAGACGGCATCTTAACCACCTTTCCCCGGCAGCTGGTCCCACGCTGCAGCCACGTGGGAGCAGGTCGGTGGGAAGCAGCCCGTGCTGCTTTCTGTGGTCCCATCTGCTCCTTCATCACTGGGGTACCTGAACCCCGGACCCCAGTGCACAATCCCCCACGGCACAGGAACAGACAGTGATTCGGGATTTCATTATGAAGCCGACTGTCTGACAAAATTAAACTAAGGATTTAAACTAGGGTCTCAGCACTTAGGGACCGCCCGAGTCATAGGTGGGAGGGAGGTGGCACCCCAGGTTTGGAGCTGCCCTGTCCTGTGGTTAAGGTGGCCGGTCTGGGTGACCAGTGATCCTATCATCTCAGGGACACCTGCACGTCCCTACCCCAGTCCTGCTCCATGTCCCCCCGTCCAAGGTGGCAATGAGCTGTGCGGCCAGGGCAGGCGTCAATGTTGGTGCTTCTGAGTGTTACCGGGGAAGCGCCCAGCCCAGGGGAGCAGGGGTTGATGGTGTGTGCCAGGACTGCACATGCTGGACAATCACAGTGAAGGAAGGGGCTGCGCACTGTAGATCAGTCAGGGGCCCTTAGCAGAGATCGGGGGGTGGGGCAGGGTGTCTCCTCCACGCAGAGCCCGTGTGGAAGGCGGTGGTCAAGGGCACCTACCAGGTGTCGCAGTGGCCCCCAGGGCCGTCGTGCAAGACTCTCCCGGCAGGCAGAGCTTAGCGAGGGCGTCTGGTCCGGCAGGCGAGAGGCTGGCCATCTGCCCTTCTGGACAGGGGTGGCACCCAGAGGCCCTGGCATCAGCCTCATCCAGGACCACGGGCTCCTGGGAGGTGGTCTCCTCTGTGCAGGGCTCATCTGTGAGGGCCTGAGCGCATGGGGCCTGTTGGCAGGTTTTACTAGGAAAGGGCAGCTCCTTGGAATGTGGGTCTTTCCAGTCCAAGTCCTGAGGGTTTCCAGGCATCATATGACCAACCGAACACCGGACACCCATCCTCTCTGCCCCTTGAGACTCAATTCCCTTTCGTTTCAAAGGTCTCCGGACTTGCTGCTGGAGCAGGACCCGTGGCCCAGAGACCTTTTGGGTGCTGGCTCCCAGCTCCCTGCTCTGTTGTGCCCTCGCCCGCAGGCATCTGCAGATCAGGCCCGGAACACTGAGCCTGGCCCCATCTCTGGGCTGGTGCCATTTGAGCCCAGTCATTGAGATGTCAGGGTTCCAGCTGAGGGGGTCCTCCCTCTGCGGCTCGTGCCCCAGCTGCCCTGCTGTGTGTGATGGTCCTGTGTGTGCCGGGCTCAGCCTCTAGTGCCTCTGGAAAGGGATCCTGTGAGGCTGAGAGGATCACCCCTTGTCCAGGTAAGGCGAGGGGATGGAGCCTCACGCAGGGTCCCCAGACCAAGGGCACACAGCTAAGGAGCAGTGACTACATGGCCGGTCCTCCTGGGCGGCTCCCATGGATGCTGTGTGTCCTGGTGTAAGTATTAACAGCAGCCTGTTCCACCCACAAGGCTATCTTAGTTTGGGCAATGAAGCAGAGGACCCCACTAATGAGACACAGTGGGTGCAGGCACATGCCGGGCCCTGTCCGACCCCAGGGCGATGCGGCTCCTCTGCCCTCGCTCTTGAGTCTCGGGGGTTCTGCCTTCACCCGGGGACAGGCAACCGCCCCGAATGCCCCAGGGCCCTGACTCATTTGCCCCGCACCCCACTTCTCTGAGCAGCCGACCCCGTCTCTCCAGGTACCGGAGGGTGTGACGTTTCTATGCCCCCTACCCCAGCTGTCCCCCTGCCTGTCATGTTCCCATGGCCATCAGACTGTTTCCCAGAATGCTGTCCCCCCACCTGGGGCCTGAAAACCTGTCGCCCAGATTATCCTGGGATGGCCGGGGGCAGAAAAGAGAGCCCACTGACCTGCGGGTTGTCCGCGGCCATGGAGACCAAGGACAGGCTTGGGGGCTGCCCGCAGGACAGAGTGGAGTCGTCAGAGTCTGCCTCGAAGTCCAAGCCGTGAACGGGGAGGACGCGCTTTTTTTGAGCAGGAAGGGGTGCGGGAAAGAGGAGACAGAGGGTCAGCCTGACTGTGAGGGCCACACGCCCTCGCCTCGGGCAGCGGGGAGGGCATCTCCAAAGGCACAGCCACCTTCTGTGGCGGCGCTGGGGGCCACCCGGAGTCCCCCACCCATCACAGGCTCTGCATCCCCAGCGCCTCTTAGAAGAGCAGAAGGAATCATCCGCTCAGCCCCTGACGGGCACACGGCTGCTCAGAGGTGCTGAGGACACAGCCCAGCAGTGCCGCCTTGGGGGGCAGGCAGGCTTCTCTGGGCCGATGGGTGCTTCTCACCCCTCACACTTTAGCAAATGAGGGGTGCCCAGCGCGGGGGAGCAGGGGGGGAGGGGGGGCTCCAGAGAGCTCCATCATCTTTAGACGCAAGAGCAGAGTTTATTCCGAATCCTTCCCTCATAATGGTTTCCATCCTTTAAAGG